CGGCAGAGCAGGCACAACAATACCAACAAATGATACAGAAAAACGATCGCACCACAAGCTCGATACCATGCAATTCCTCTCGCGTGCCAGACCGTTTCCTCGTGGTGAATGCTGGTCGCCATGAATTGTGGTTATGGGTGGTCTCTAATTTCTATTTACAGGATGGATTAATGGTAATGGGGTTGGGGGTGGAATTATTCCATCGGGAAGAAGATACTCTAGGAAAATATATGTGTGTGTGTGTGAATGATGATTAATTGGAAATGTATCTTTAAATGCAGGGTGGACCATGGAAATGAATAGAAATGAATTTTATGGAATTTAATTTTGAAGTGAAGCAGAAGGTTTTCGTTTATCTTAGGGGATGAGGATAATTTTTGATTTATATTAAGAAATAATGGAAGAGGAGATGATAATATGAAATTTGGTGTTTGAAATTGGAACTAATAATAAAGAATAAAAGAATATTTCTGATTTTTAATTAGTAATAAATAATGATAATAATTCAGCAAGTTATCCGTGAGAATTAAATGTTTTTTTAATTAAAACTTTCATATTATCATACCTCACGTATGAGTTTATAAAATATAAAATTACAAGATGCCTCTAAAGTCTCCAAAGCTTTTCTACCACGTGACATAAAAATTCATTACACATTAGACACACGCTCTCGCGTATCATGATCGTTCACCAACAATTCACATGGGTTATATGATATGGTTTCCAAAATTGCAATGTATGACGCTTGGTATGTTTCATCTGTTTACAAATGCATTGGACAGATTGATATGAATGCTGTTTGTCGATATTTAACCTAATATCAATATCGCGTTAAATCAAACAAGTAGAACGAGAACGCGTGTGGTCAGACCTGTCGGCTATACCGCGTGATCAAAATAAATGAAATTTTTCCACTTTTCTTTTCTCAACAAATGACCAATTCCATCAAAAATTTACGAGATCAAAGAGCGGAACAATCGATAATCGTTATTAACAATATGCAATTGTTTTTTCGACCAAAAGATATATAATACATACTAGTATATACTAGATATACTATGCACGAATAGCCGACGAAGAGACGATCGAGAAAAAGCAGCAAAGTGAGACGGCCTTGCACCGAAGAGGAGGATACATTCATGCAACACATACACGCGAAGCACGGAATCGCGAGCGCAATTATCTCGATGCTTCGCTCGCTTACCCTGTCCGATTGGGCGTTCTTCTTCGAGTTCCAGCAGAATTCGAGGACTGCGACGAGGATGGCCAGAGCCAGGCCGCAAACCAGCACGACAAAGACACCACCTGGAACGGGAAAAACCGGAAGCTCATTATTTTACCGCCTCCGGCTGTCTCTGCTCCTTCTCGCTACCCCCCGCGCATGCTTCACGGTTAATGTACCTGTCACTGAATTTCACCCAGGATCCGTACGCCCATCTATCACCCCTCTAACACCTCATTCACGCCCCTCCACGCCTGTCTATTTATCTATTTATCTATCCATCTGTCTAGCTTCCCGTCTATACGACGTCATTTATTTATACTCGTCTTTTCCCCTCGTCCCACTTCTTCTTTGTCTCCTCCAGTCTTTTTTTCCCTCCCCCTCGCTATCCCTTTCAATGGAAATTTGAAAAGAAGAAGAGGAAAAAAGGAAGATTGGAAAGAAAGGTTGTGTATTACGATCGATAATTACAATCGAATGGAAAAATTCTGACAAAGAGATGGAAAAATATCGTAATCGAGTAATTTGGAATGATTAATCGGTTACGCTGTGAAGGATGTTGTTTCTTGTGAGTTATTACTTTGCTTCGCTCATTGTACATTATATATTTTACTGCGAAGATAAGAATACCTCCGTTGAAATTTATTCTTCGTGCCGATCATTTCGCACACTTTGCTCGGCTGCACATCGTCTCGATATTGGATCCTCGGCAAGTTTCCTCGCCAAAAACTTTATCCTATCCTCGACAAATTACGAAGTCCTTCTATCCACCGTGAAAAACATTCTTTCGCGAATTTTTACGTTCGTCGTGGAAACGATGTCGAATATAAGGAGGTAATATCTCTTTACACTCGAGCAAGAGGAGTAAATCTATCGTCCCTTCGATTCGATAAAATCGCTCGTTATCGCATTAGCCAGTTTTATGAAAAGTTTTCCCTCCTAGTTTATAGGAATCTTTCTTTCTTTTTTTTTTTTTCTTGCGATAGTGAAACTGGAGATCCGTACTACGTATGCTTTAAAACTTTTCGTATCGTAGGCGAGCTACGTCTGTTTGTTTCCGAATCGACTCGTGAAACTTTTTGTTTAATCGTTTGCTCGGAGTATCGCGATCTTTGTTTACTCGAATGTTGCATCGCTTCGCGGTTCCAAGTTGCGTGAAACGATTTTCCATTAAAATTCCTTTCCTTAACCTTCTCGCGATATACTTGGTGGATTAATGCAAATTCTGGGATTTTGTTGCGTACTTGTTAATAAAAAAAACCATGAAAGCATTTAAAGTTCACAATTTTTAAAATTTGGAAATATATAAATTAAAGAAACGTAATAAATAATTATTATTCCGTATTTTTTGATATAAAATTAATATAAAAAAGAATTAAAAACAAAATTGCATTTTTAAATCGTTAAATTTAAATTGGATCCTTTCTCTTGTAAAATTTTTATCCAACAATATTTTTAATTCCTTCATTTTCCCAGATTTTCCATTCACTTTTGTATACAATTTTTCTCCATTTCCCACGAAAGATAAGAAATTCACCGTATTCTCGAGGAAATGATCACAAGTTCAAGCATCCAAATCCAGTAAAGGCCATATATCACGCGGAATAAACGCCGATTTAACGTAATCTCGTCGATGTTTATGATGTAACTTCATCTCTATGCTAAACAAGAAGCAGTGCCTTCCTTCATCGGAATCAATATACGGGCCCGCATTTGCATAACTGCACCGACACTGTGATTTAAACGATATTTCACCGGAAGGAGAGAAGTTTCTCGCATGCTCTACCATTTTCATACCAGCCCACCCCCTGTCATCGCGACTAATTTCCCAGTGAAACGAGAAACAATGCCAACGTCTTAGCATCCGGCCATTGCGCGTTTACGATTCGTTTCGCGTTGGCAACTTTTGCCTTCGTCGAAAAGTCGTCGAGTTTCCGGCGTGGACCGAATATTTGCCCCGAGAATTGCGATTTTGTAATGGAACGATCGAGAGGAAAATTGTTTACTCGACGAATTGCATTGCTCGGCGTGACTGCTTCGAATAATTTTCCAGATTAATCATTCGAATGAAAAATGGTGTAACTCGTTTCCGTTGAGATTATAATAACGAGAAGAAATTAAATTTGGAACTTTTCCTTTGAAAAGAAGGAGATGTTTTGTTACGAAAATTTATAAGCGTTCTATCACGTAGATATTAGCATGTTTTTTCGTTTATGGTGACGAAAATATCATGTTTGTATTCATGTTCATGAATAATTGATATAATCAGAATTTCTGATTTTAATCTTGTCAATATATATTGTATATGCATAAGGTGTAAATTTTTTATTTTTAAATGCAGCCGAATGTTTGTCTCTTTCTCGTTTCTCCTTGTATTCTTTTATCATGCAAATAATCGACAAATTTAATGGAAAGCGAATTCATCTGCAATTTTTCGAACTTCACGAGAATTATTCGTCCTTTTCCTCGTTTTCGAGAGTACATTTGCACTATTGGCAAAGTTGATACTTGCTTAAGTTATAGGCAAGTCGACGTCAAAAAGTAAAAGAAAAAAAAGAAGTAAAAGAGAGAAAGGAAACACTATTCTTAGCTTTTCTTAAAAAGGAAAAAAAGTAAAGAGGGAAAACTTGTTGTGACTTCCATAAAAACGGAAGGGGACATCCCGAAGAAAAATTCTTCACGAACTTCTCGCAAGATTTCTTTGAGCTTGAAAGCATTTCAAGTCATCCTTTGTTATTTTTTTTTATCCATATTTATCGCGTGAAGCAATTCGTGAGTGTATATGAATTAAATTTATTATAAGAGTGTTTCTTTTTTTTTTCCTGTATAATTCTTGTGAATATTTTTCTTTATGAATATATACTATATTTACAAGATTATTTAAGCAAATTGACTTGATTCAACTTTGTCTCGTTCTTTCACTTTCGATCGATGTTATCTCTTCAATTTTACTCGTACAGTTTCGATAAACTGTCTATTATGTAACATTATAACCGTTATTGAAAACCATCCGTGGTTCATTATGTAACTTGACATGTTCATGGCAAAGCCTCCAAATTAAGTTAGTTACACACTGGGCGGGATGCGGGAACGATCAGAACGAACCTAATGATTTCGACGCCATTGTTCTACTTGCATACGTTCCATCGACCTCGTTTACGTCCCGTAAATTACGGGTTGTAATTATGATGATGATTTGGATCAACGATACTCAATCCTTCAAAATTTCGAAAATTCACATTCGCTTCTTCCGCGCTCGATTTCCAATATATATGAATATCACGGAAAATCATTATCATCTTTATATTTCGGCTAGAGAAATCAAATATATAATTCAATATTCTGATATTATTATCAGTAATTATATTTTTGTTTCGACATTCATCACTTGACGCTGCGTGGATTATCAATTTATTCTCGCCAAATTTATTTGGGTCATTTCAAAATAGATTATCCTTTCGTGCATTTATTTATTGAACGAAATTAATTATTTATCACGAAGATTTCCGTGCATTGTATATTTAAATTTTAAATGAAAATTTTAAATTTTAAATTTTAAATTTAAATTTTAAATTTTAAATTTTGATCATATTAATAATGATGAACACTAATTTATGAATTTGTATTTTTTTTTTTTTGATATCATAGTTATAGATTTTTGAATATTTGTTTGATATCCTTTATTTAATGATTTCTTTTTCTAAATCTAAAGAAAAAGAATAAATAATAAATTTGTGTAGTGGAATAAAATTATAATGAATCGTGTTAGAATAATATTAAATTTATGTTTTTCGATAATTTTAATAAAAAAGAATTTTTTTCTTCCCCCTAAAATAACTGACAATTAAAATAGATTAAAACATACTTACATATTTACATACTATTATCATTAATTACTATCAATATTGTATTGCAATCACGTTCATTCTCTGAAATATATTTTTAATTCAATGATTTACAAATAAAATTGTCAGTTATTTCTCATTATCATAAGAGAGAAAGAAAAGATCACAAATTTTTTCCATCATCAAGTAAAAATTTAAATTCTTCACCCAATCTTTGTCTATCTTGGATAAGATTCCCATCATGTTTCAATCTAGTAATAAATTTACACTAGATAGGGACAATGATATCCATCTCATCGACCATAAAAGAAAAATTGAGAGCTCACCGATATTTTCAACTCCCAACGCGTTCGCCTTGCTCTCCTTGCTCTTCTCGTCCCTGTTGCACACGTCCCCGGTATTCTTCCACCACTTATCGTACAGAATCTGTATCACACCCTTCTCCTGTAGCTCCAAAATCGCCAGAGATATTTTATCCCTCCAGGGTGAGCCTGCATATAAAACGGCTTCGTTAAGTCACGAATTCCTGCGATCTCTCGTCTTTGAAACGCTTTACGTCTTCTGCTGGGCAACGTCTCGAGGAAAGGTGAAATTGCTCGTCCTTTTTACATCCTCGAGGCGTCTTACAAGACCCAGTTATTTGAACATCTCTCTTTCTTTCTCTCTTTGCCTCAGAGCAAAAAGAAATTCTTGGTTTTCATTGCAATGCTCGCGAAAAACTTGGCAATTTTCAGCGCGTGACGGAGAGGATATTATATGTCAAATGTAGTATAAAATAATTTTGGACAAGTAATCTTCTTTATCAAAAGATTCAGACTAATTAGGACAATGCTTAGGCTATAATAAATTAAAATTGATTTTTTTAACATGTATATTTTTCGTTGATATATAACGTGGTTATTATAAGTATATTTAATTTGATATCGTTAAACTTTTTTGTTTCACATAATAAAATAATAAGAAATATATGTATACGTGATTTCAGTCATTGCATTTAATAGTTTTATAATTATGTAAAAATATTTTTCTCTCTCGTTTTTCACGAGCCAATAAAACAAATGAAAGAAACCACCAATAATTCTTCAAAACATCTAGAATAACTGACGTGTTCCAGTTCTGATTGTGCGACAGGCCGTCACACGAACGTCAAAAAAAATGAATGTTACATTCGTTACGTCCATTTTTTTAACGTTCGTTGTAAAATATAGAAGGGGTTACGTGACATCCATCCGCTTCTGTCTTACAATAACGCTATGACGAATATCAAAAAGATAGACACAACAATGATCGTGTAATGTTTACTGCTGCTGGAAAAAAATATTAATATTATTTCTATTCTTGTAATAATCTTTTCATATTGTTTGATTTTCAGTATCCAGTTTGTTTTCCATCTGATGAAAAATTAAATTTTGATCGACATAATGCTCGTTTTCTACGAAACAATTAAAATAGAATAATAAAGAAAATCAAGGAGCTAGCTCAAATTTTTAATATAACAATTCTACAAAAAATAATGATTAACTAAAAAAGTTTTTAAATATTGTCGATACGTAAATTACTCTACGTTGACAACGTACGTATTAATCGAGCATTATGGTAATAATTTTTAATTATGGCATGTAATTTCGATTATTCGACTTCGTTGTTAGAAACAATCGCGTCATCAGTATATAGAGGTCGAAAGTGGAAACACAGACACGTTAGTCCAATTAAGAAAATTGCTCGGTCTCCAACCTCCGGCTATAACTCTCTTCAAACTTTCATCTCGTTCTTGCCCGTCAAGAAGAAGCCGAATTACGCGGATTTAAAACTTCTCGCTTCGGTGTCGTCTCCGACTCGTTAATTAAGCTTCTACATTGGAGGACCACGGAAGCGAAGAAGTTCGCTCGAATTCACGAGGAAAAACGACGGATACCGTGTTTCTTTTTTTTTTTTTTTCCCC